TCCTCATCCATCACTTGTGCTCCTCATCCATCACTTGTGCTCCTCATCCATCACTTGTGCTCCTCATCCATCACTTGTGCTCCTCATCCATCACTTGTGCTCCTCATCCATCACTTGTGCTCCTCATCCATCACTTGTGCTCCTCATCCATCACTTGTGCTCCTCATCCATCACTTGTGCTCCTCATCCATCACTTGTGCTCCTCATCCATCACTTGTGCTCCTCATCCATCACTTGTGCTCCTCATCCATCACTTGTGTTCCTCATCCATCACTTGTGCTCCTCATCCATCACTTGTGCTCCTCATCCATCACTTGTGCTCCTCATCCATCACTTGTGCTCCTCATCCATCACTTGTGCTCCTCATCCATCACTTGTGCTCCTCATCCATCACTTGTGCTCCTCATCCATCACTTGTGCTCCTCATCCATCACTTGTGCTCCTCATCCATCACTTGTGCTCCTCATCCATCACTTGTGCTCCTCATCCATCACTTGTGCTCCTCATCCATCACTTGTGCTCCTCATCCATCACTTGTGCTCCTCATCCATCACTTGTGTTCCTCATCCATCACTTGTGCTCCTCATCCATCACTTGTGTTCCTCATCCATCACTTGTGCTCCTCATCCATCACTTGTGCTCCTCATCCATCACTTGTGCTCCTCATCCATCACTTGTGTTCCTCATCCATCACTTGTGCTCCTCATCCATCACTTGTGCTCCTCATCCATCACTTGTGTTCCTCATCCATCACTTGTGCTCCTCATCCATCACTTGTGCTCCTCATCCATCACTTGTGTTCCTCATCCATCACTTGTGCTCCTCATCCATCACTTGTGCTCCTCATCCATCACTTGTGCTCCTCATCCATCACTTGTGTTCCTCATCCATCACTTGTGCTCCTCATCCATCACTTGTGCTCCTCATCCATCACTTGTGTTCCTCATCCATCACTTGTGCTCCTCATCCATCACTTGTGCTCCTCATCCATCACTTGTGCTCCTCATCCATCACTTGTGCTCCTCATCCATCACTTGTGCTCCTCATCCATCACTTGTGTTCCTCATCCATCACTTGTGCTCCTCATCCATCACTTGTGCTCCTCATCCATCACTTGTGCTCCTCATCCATCACTTGTGCTCCTCATCCATCACTTGTGCTCCTCATCCATCACTTGTGCTCCTCATCCATCACTTGTGCTCCTCATCCATCACTTGTGCTCCTCATCCATCACTTGTGTTCCTCATCCATCACTTGTGCTCCTCATCCATCACTTGTGCTCCTCATCCATCACTTGTGCTCCTCATCCATCACTTGTGCTCCTCATCCATCACTTGTGTTCCTCATCCATCACTTGTGCTCCTCATCCATCACTTGTGCTCCTCATCCATCACTTGTGCTCCTCATCCATCACTTGTGCTCCTCATCCATCACTTGTGCTCCTCATCCATCACTTGTGCTCCTCATCCATCACTTGTGCTCCTCATCCATCACTTGTGCTCCTCATCCATCACTTGTGCTCCTCATCCATCACTTGTGCTCCTCATCCATCACTTGTGCTCCTCATCCATCACTTGTGCTCCTCATCCATCACTTGTGCTCCTCATCCTCTTTTGCTCTTCGTGCGTCAAGAAACTGACGCCTCGCAACGCATTTCCAACATGGCTATGACATGCTGTCATCCATTCATTGGCCCACTGCAATGCCACTTCCAGAAGGGGCGTGCTGTCATCCATTCATTGGCCACTGCCATGCCCCTTCCCTAACTTGCACCCTCCTCCGCAACCCCCCCCCCCCCCCCCCCCCCCCCTGCCATTCATCCCCAAGCTCACACTCAGTCGTGTCATCCCCCCTCCACCAGTCTGGTCTGCGATCCTCTGCACGCCCCCAAACTCGCCGTTCACCAGTTTTGAGGCCCTCAAAACTCCTCTGCAGCCCACCGCACTCGCCGTTCACCCAGATCACGGTTTTTCACCCACCAGCCCACTCGCCCGCCCACCCCAAAACCCCACTCGCTCTCAAACGAGCTTTTACTTCCACCTGTCCGTCTCCCATCAACCCAAGAGGTCTCACTCGTTATCAAACTCACCCTAACCCTTGCCATCTCCCCCACCTGTCCGTTGCCCAACACAACATTCAAACATCCAACCACCAATCCGTCCACTGGCCGACTCTTTCACCTACCCACTCTTCCACTCTCCCCACCACTCACTCTTCCCTTACTCACACTGAGTCGAGCCATCTCCTCCACCTGTCCGTCGCCCATCACCCCGCCCACCCATCCAACAACCTACCCATCCACTCACCCACGCTTTCACCTCCCAACCCTTTCACCTCCCAACCCTTTCACCCACCCACCCTCTCACTCACCCTGAGTCGAGCCATTTCTTCCACCTGTCCGTCGCCCATCGCCCCGCCTGCCTCCGTGGCCTGCCGCACCGCCGCCACCTCAGCCTCGTGTGCCGCCTCCAGCTCAGCAAGCTTGCGCTCGTACGCGCGTGCCACGTCAGCAACGGCTTGTTCCACCAGCTCGGCACGCTGCCGCTTCTCCTCCTGCCACGCCTCCTCCAACTGCCTCGCCTTCTCCTCTATCTCCTCCCTCTCCGTCCTCTCCCTTTCCTCCTTCTCCTGATCTTTCTTCTCCTGATCCTTTTTCTCCCTCTCCTCCCTCTCCGCCTTTGCTGCCCCAGCTGCAGCAACTTCTGCCTTCCGTCTTGCCTCTTCCTCCTCCTCCTCCTCCCTCTTCCTCTTTTCCTCCTGCTCTCTCTTCTCCCTCTCCTCTACCTCCGCACGCGCCCTAGCCGCTTCCTCCTCCTTCTTCCTCTCTTCCTCCTCCACCCTCCTCTCCTCCTCCTCCCTCTTTCTCACTTCCTCCTCCTTCCTTTTCACCTCAGCCGCAACTCTCTCCCTCTCCTCCTCCTCCGCTTCCTGCCTCCTCCTCTCCTCCTCTCTCTTCCTCGCCTCCTCCCTCTCCCTAATCTCCATCTCAACCAATCGCTGCCGGACTGCCTCCTCCTCCTCCACCCGCTCCTCCAGCACCCCTTCAACCGTCGGCACCGTCACCAGCGCCGCAGCCTCCGCGGGAGTCACGGCAACGGCGGAAACGGCAGCAGCGGCAGCGGGAGGCGCAGCGGCATACGGCGGAGAAGCAGCAGCAGGAGCAGTAGTGGCAGCAGCAGCGGGAGTCTTGCGGAACAGGTTTCCAATAGCGGAGAACACGACCCGAAGCAGGCCGAAAACGAACCTTAAAACGAGTGTGACAGCAGCGAGAGAGAGCACGGCCGCAGACCAGAGCAAGGCTAGAGAGAGCTCTTTGGGGATCTTATTCTTAACTGCCCACGCGTCGACTCTCCGCACGACTGGCGCCGATTCCACCGACTTGACGAACTTCTGAGCCATGGCGGCCGCATTTGCCGCCGTGTTGGCAGTCGAGTTAGCCGCCGCGTTTGGCGCGGGTTTGCTGCTGCTCGCGCCGCTGCCGCTGCTGCTGCTGCTGCCGCCAGCGGCGGCCATGCTGACGGAGGAGCCGCGAGAGGCGGCGCGTTTGTCGGCGGCAAGACCGCGGTTTTTTGGTTTCGCATGAAGCTCTTGCTGACGTCGCTGCTCTTGAAGCAGCTTCTCGCAGGGCTGACACGTGTTATCCTGCGCCACGGTGCAGGTTTGACAAATACCATGCGTGTTATGACGACTTCTTCGTATGCGTTATAAAAACAAGTAGTCTCTTCAACAAAAAAAAACAACAACAAAAGAGAAGGACAACAGGTGCTTCTAAGAAGCAAGCAAATAGCACTAAGGGCACACATATCTGGTTTCTCAAAACGTGACAGAAGAAAAATAAAACAGCCATTATCACTGCGCATTGGATTTCAACCAATCAGCACAGGCTAACATTACACGTGCGCCGCTCAGTCGAATAACATCATTCGCCGGCGATTCGCAACATCATTTCGCACACCGGCGCAAGCCTTTTAGACGTACCTTAAAGTGTCGCGAATGCTGTCGCGAGAGGCTCCCTTGCCGCCTCACGCCCGGAGAGAACGACGGGCTGGACGGCACGGAGCACAGGCGAACTGGGAGCGACACGGCCGCCATAGCTGACGCGAGCGAGAAACAGTGAGCGCGGGAAACGTCGGCAATGAGCGACGCGACTTGTGGGGTGGTGAAAGGAATAAGGCTTAGGACAAGAAACTAGTAACTAACTGGTTCGCAGCAGGTGGCCTTGTGAGATGATAGTGATGTGAGGGGCGTAATCTCCTAGAAATCTTCGAGCATGGGAGGAAATGAGACGACAGAGGACCAGAGTGACAAATTGGTTAAGGACGTGTTCCGTCGGTATTCTCTAGGTTCAAGAATCAAAACCAAGGATGATCAGCAAAAGTTTCAAATCATGTGGCTTGTCAAACAACGAACAAAGGCATTCCTGAAGGGAGTTTTTGCTTCTCGGTGTGAATGAAAGGTCCCAGTTTTGAAAAGTCGGCTCGGAACATCAGAGTTTCGGAGCAGTCTTGAAAATAGGCCCTCGCCTCAGTGTACTTTCCCCGCTGATGCTGCTTATCTGCCACGTCGGACTGGATCATCTGCGACCCGAAATTGTAGGATCAAAACATCCTCGATATCAGAGCTCGCGTAGAAGGCATTGCAACTTTAGACAACGAGGTGTATTGCAGTTACAGATCATTTCTCATTACGGAAAGCTTACAGTAGTTGGAGAAATTATTTTGGGCGAGCCCAACCATACATTGCAGATTTACCTTTTTTTTCTTCGTTGCTGCACCACTTTATTTGTTTTCCAGTTGAAGATCGACGGTCTCCGCATCCCGATTCCCTCGTTTCCCGTCTCGACTCGACACGCTGAATCCGCGTTTCAACTGTTTCCACCGAACGGCAGACTAGACATCTGCGTTTGAGAAAGATTCTCTCGGTCTTTCGGCGGCATCTCGTCAAGCTTTGCCGCATCGCTTTTCTCTCCGGCGAACCGCCATCCCTACTCTTCCCGAACCATGGTGCGCCGATTCCCCTTCCTTCCCGCAAATTCACCCTTTTACAAAACGCGCACTAGACGTCGGCAAGTCGTGGCGCCATGGAGTGAAGACTGAGACAGCGTAACCTAGATTCTCTCGTGCAATGTCGAAACGTTACCTCATCATTCCCATGAATTACCCCAACCCATCCATCCCCCCTCTCTTCCCCCTCCCCCCAGACACCCCCCCTTCCCCCCCTCCCTTGCCTCTCCCTATGGTAACCCGTTCATCGCCCACGTTTCGCCTCTCTCGTCGTCCTCGTTATGCTCTGCCCCGTTTGTGGCAGTCGGGGCGCAAGGAACCAGTGCTGGACCTAGCGAGGCTGGTGGACTCGTTTTTTAGGCGCCTCAAATACAGAATCCCCGTTATGCTCTCCCCCGTTACTCGTATGCATGCTCTGCCCCATTTGTGGCAGTCGGGTCGCAAGGAAACAGTGCTGGACCTAGCGAGGCTGGTGGACAAGGGGGTGTGCGTGAAGCTTAACGGGGGACGACAAGGTGATTATAGGGGCGTGTGCGTGAGAATCAAGGTGATGATAACCGGGGACCACGTGGCAGGAACTGACAGGCTAACTGGCTGGCTGGCCGGCTGGGTAGTTGGCTCCGTTCCCAAAGAATCTCCCCATCTCCTTCCTCTGCTCTCAAAGGTTCCCAGCAACTCTCATAATCTCATTGCAACTGTCCCCATATTAACTGCCCCGACACCCTTTGCCAGCCAGCCCCTACCTCTCTCTCTCTTTCCCCCTCCTCACCCTACCTCTTCCCCCCACCCCTCGCCTCTCCTTTCTCCCCCTTTTCCCCCCGGCACCAGTGATGGGCACGCTGAAGGGGTACGACCAGCTGATCAACCTGGTGCTGGATGAGGCCGTGGAGTATGAGCGAGGTATGGAGGGAAGGGCGGCAGGAAGGTTGGGGGGGAAGGGCGTTAGGGATGGGGATGAAGGGGTGCGAGCAGCTGATCAACCTCGTGCTGGATGAGGCAGTGGAGTATGAGCGAGGTGGGTGGGCCGAGAGGGGGGGATGGGTAAGGAAAGGGCGGTGAGGAATGGAAAGAGAAAGGCGATGGAAAAGGGCGGGGAGGGGAGGGGCTATGGTCGTTGTAAGGGTAAGACCAGCTGATCAACCTGGTGCTGGATGAGGCGGCGGAGTACGAGCGAGGTAACTGTGCGTGTGGATGAGGGGCGGGGGTAAAGGGAGAGAGTGCAGGGGGGAGGGGGAATAGCGTCGTGTTGGGATTGAGCAACATTTCATTGAAGGTATACGACTAGCTGATCAACCTGGTGCTGGATGAGGCGGCGGAGTATGAGCGTGGTAAGGGGGAGAAAGGAGGGGTGGGTTGGGGGGGAAGTGTATGGGAGAAGGGCGGGTGGGAGGCAGGAGAGGGCCTGGGCCGATTGGTGGGAGAAGGGTGGAGCAGCGGGGAGGACGGAGGAGTGTTAAGGTTATCCAACTGACTGATGAAGGAGTACGATTACCTGATTGACATGGATGTTGCGGTGGAGTATGAGAGAGGTGCAATAGGAGAGGTTGGGATGGATTGAGGGGGGTTTGAAAGGGTGGAAGACAGTGAAGCGTGGAAGTGTTACTGAATGAGGCAGCTGACTGTGGGGGAGGGGCCAGAAAAGGCGGGTGGGGATTGTCAAGGCGGCTGTGGGATGGCATTTCATGCTCTGAAGTGGAGGAAGACAAGGTGTGCTGGGTCTTTTCAGTGGGGAAGTGTGGTTACTGTGAACGAAATCTGTTTGGGTGAGTGGGATGAACATATGCACCAGGGCGAGCAAGGTGCGAGCATACGTATCGTGGGGTGCGAGAGGGGCATGAGGATGGTGAGATATGGATGTGCATGTAGCCTAGGGCTTGTGCTCTGAGTTGCAGTGAGCAAGCAACCTGAGGAATTTCTGATACAGGAGAAGTCAGGGGAAAAGGTGACCTGTTTGGGTTTTTCTTCTGTGTTGCTTATCCTTCCCTGTTAACACTCTTCCTGATCGCTGGTCTCCGTTGTCCTCGTTTTTGCATCACCCGCTACAGATCCAGAGGACCCCCTACGTCTGACCGAGCAGACACGACCGCTAGGGCTCATTGTAAGCACGATTTGGATTTTATGCAGCCTACATTGTACACTTGCAATCCTGCATCTCTTGCGTTTTTTATTTTGACTCTGTGCAGTCTCTGCATGACAACCCCCCATCCTTGTACTGTGCATAATGCTGCATGCCACTCCCTTATTTTCTTTCCTTTCCTTCCCTCCCTTCATTTCTCACTTACCCTCCCTTCCTCGTCAAACTTTCCACTTGCTGGTGCACAGGTATGCAGAGGAACAGCGGTGATGCTGATAGCTCCGACAGATGGCACAGAGGAAATAGCCAATCCTTTCTTGCAACAAGAGACCTCTTGAGATCTATTTTGAAACATTGTTGATTGTTTTCGTTTTATAACGTACTGTTTCTCGTGTTGTAGGAAAGACTTCGCGGTTCCTTGTTTGAGACGGGTATTTGGTCCTGCGCTCCCGATCACTTCCTATTTGCGTGGACGAGCGCTCTCCGCGCTGTCTTTCCCCAGTAATTTTCCCAGATCAGCGGAATCCACGAGCTCAAATTTTCCCGCCATGTCCACGTCACAGCCACCAACTGTCATTTCACGGGGAACGAAGCAACCTCGAGGTGGTTTCGGCGGTCCATAACAGCCGAGCATAACCAACTCATCTCCACCGTCCATATTCCCAGTCTCCCCTAGATGTTTTCGACGAGGTACAGCTGTAGCACCCCTTCTTTCCCTCCATAAACAGCGATGGTTAAAATTCCCTCACAAAAGCTCGTGCCAGCGGCACCGTCCACTTCTGAGATCTGAAACCAAGATGCACAACACACAGCAGGACATAGCCAAGGATAGGATGCTGAAACTTCCCTTCTATGACCTAGGATCTGCTTCTCTTTTGAAGCTGCTAAACTCACATCGACCTTTTCTTCCTTTTTTTGTGTTAGTCGTAGCGTTGGATAGGGTGATAGCACCTTCTGACGAGGTCGAGGGATCCGCTGTAGAGAGCATAGGCGTATCACGGTAAGACCGAGGGACTTTTTGCCATGAGTCCCAACGTCGCCACAGCAATGCAGACGAGCGTTTCAAACGGCATGGACGGATCAGACCCTAAAAGCACCGTTGTCCGGCGAGCTGTTTCTCAGCCTGCTCAGGACGAGTATAAGGACGAATTCAGATACACACCAGAGGACGGGAAAGACGAGGCCGAGCTGTCGAAGCTTCTAGAAAAGGATGGCATGGAGATCCGCGATATGGTGAAGCCACGGCCGATGCGCCTATCGGATCTCCTCATTGTCTACTGCTACCACATGATTCCGTTCACGCTCATGCCTATCGTCAACACCATCCTCAACTACTACCTTGTATACCAGTAAGTTTTCCAATGACTGCTGTAACCATTATCCGTTTCAAAACGGCCATCATCACCAACACTCCCTCATTACCAACTGGTCCTCATCACAGTATCTTGTTCTCGGGGCATTCTCCGTCTGTCTTCACGTTAGATCTCCTGCATTGCTCAAAGTCTGGTCTGGAACCCTGTTAACCGACCACCCTGTCACGGTGCACTGAAACGTTTCTTGCAGGATGCTGGGTTGGTGGGGTCCACTTATAGCAACGGTCGTCCTCTTCTTCCTCGCGGTCTGCCCGCCCTTCTACAATCGCTCCATTCGCCGTCGCCTCGTCGTAAGTACAGAGCTTGAATCACGAGAAGAACATTGTGATTATGGGAATTTCACATGAACTAATCGGTGGCATATTATTCATTTAGTGCCGTTAACGCTGCGGCTCTCCATCCGTTTATTCTGCCATGAGCGAGCCACGGCGTATCGCCTGTGGTCAACTTTCACAAATGTTTCATGATCTGCGCTCCCATTGTTTTGGCCAAGTTTCACTCAACGTGAAGGAACCTCTGAGTCTTCAACGTTTAGCGGACGTTCTGGATAACGCCCCGTTGTGCCCAGTGGTCCGAGGCACAGAACGTGAAGGAATCCGTCAACTGAATTTAATATGCCGATCGTACCTTATTGGAATTTATCACAAGAGATTGGAGGAGTAATATAACTAGAAGCTAGTGTGCTACGTCGCCCACGAGGTACTCATCCCCGATATTATTCCACCCATTTTCATAGAACTCACACCATCCCTTTTGTCCCTTTGCCAGTTCCTGTACGAGGCCCTGGCGTATTACATGAAGCGGGTGCGCTACATCGCCCCCAAGGATCTCATCCCCGATAGTGCATACATCTTCGCGTTCCATCCACACGGCCGCATGTTCTACACCAACACTATGATGATCCAGACCAACTACGAATGGAGAAAAAACTTCTGCCCCAAAGGTCCGTTAAATTTATTTATTTTCTTACCTCGAGTGCCCTACTATACGGGAATTCTGTCCCTGCGTATGCCTGAAAAAATAATCCCTGTAATTCCAAAACGCATTTCTTGCCTTGCATCACGAACATTCCCCCGCCCTCAGGTGACTTCTTTGCCGGGGCAGCAGCGGGGTTCTACTCGGTGCCTGTGCTGCGCAACCTGCTGTACCTCCTGGGGACCATGCCTGCCAGTGAATCAAACATCCGCAGGGAGCTGCGGAAGAAAAACCACGTGAGTTGTTGAGCCGTTGAGTGAGTGAGGTAGGGTTCACATAGCAACTTATGGCACCCTACCTACCTTCTGTACCTGCTGGGGACCATGCCTGCCAGCATATCGAACATCCTGCGGGAGCTGAGGAAGAAGAACCACGTGAGTTGTTCTTTTGCTGAGCCATTGCTAGTGAGGGTGAGGCTTGCATTGGGGCCTGTGCTGCGCAATTTGCTGTACCTGCTGGGCACCGTGCCTGAAAGCGATTCCGATATTCGGAAGTAGCTGAGGAAGAATTACCACGTGAGTTGTTGAGGTGTTGGATGAGAGCGGTGAGGCTCACAACTGGAGCTGAGGAAGAAGAATTATGTGAGACGTGGAACTAGCTGTCATGAATCCAGCATGCTGTCAATGGGTGCCGGTGACGCGCGGTGTATGCTTGTTGTTCCTCCCAAAATGGTTAATCGCCAGGCGTATTGCGTCCTCTGTCATTCAAACACACTCCAATCCTCTTGGACTAATTCCTCTCTTGAACTGATCCGCGTCTTGAACTCTTCCCTTCGTGTCCTGCTCTGCAGATGGCCATTGTGATTGGGGGCCTGAAGGAGGTCTGCCTTGGCACAACTTCCCACACCGACAAGCTCTATTTGATGAGGAGGTATGAAACAGCTTACATAGGCAGTAATTATTCACGTTGCTGTGTGCACCCAAGGTGGTTACAGAAACGGTGGTGAGAATGGGTGGGTGATGTGTTACTTTTGTAGACTTAATCGTGGGGTGGGAGAACGGATGGGTGAACGAGGGAGACAAAGAAGCAGGAAGGTGAAAAGTGCCTGAACGAGAATGCTGTGGATTGTGGCCTGGGGGAGCGAGTCTCAGGCTTTACTCTTCGTGTTGTTATGTTTCTTGTGTTGCTGGTGTACAGACGTTTGACTCAGATTTGCTTCCGTTTGTGCTGATCCTGGCTGCTTGGCTGGTTTGTGTGTGGTGCTGGTGTGGGTTGACAGGAAGGGGTTTGCACGCATAGCAGTGCAGGAGAAGGTGGGAGTCATCCCCATCTACTGCTTCAATGAGAACCAGGTGTGTATGTGTGTGTGTGCCGGTTCATGCCATTACAAGCCATGCCATGAAGGGTTTGCGCGCATAGCAGTGCAGGATAAGGTGGGAGTCATCCCCATCTACTGCTTTAATGAGAACCAGGAGTGTATGTGTGTGTCACAGGCAGGCCATGCACTGCAATGCACGAGCTGGACTGTACGAGCTACGATGGGAGCTGTTAGTGTAAATAATGCTCCAAATCCTGCCTCCCAGTCCCACCTTCTCACGCCCCCTTTTCAAAGTATCCACACCCCCACCACCTCTTGCCCTTGCATGCGCTCCTTGGTTGTTCTGCCCACCAAATGCATTGCCTTCGTGTTTTTGTTATGCATCCCTATCAGCTCTTCAAGCATGACCCAGTATGGTTCCGTTTGTTCTGGGAAAGGGTAATCTCCAACATGCACTTCTTTCTCACTCCCCACTGAACGCATTTGTATTCCTTCCTGCTCCCGCATCCCCATCAGCTCTTCAAGCACGACCCAGTATGGTTCCTTCAGTTCTGGGAGAAGGTCAACCGTCACGTCAACATCGGAGTGCCCTTCATGCGTGGGGCCTGGAACCTCACCCTGCCCTTCAGACGGTAAGCATGATGCCTATGACAACCTGAAATCTTTTCGGTAACCTGAATGGGCTTCTTCGCAGCATGTGTTCCTTATTCCCCCAAAAAGTCTAGTATATGCTACCTAGAAATGTTTTTGTTCCCCGCCCCTTCCCCTCCCTCCCGCCTCTCCCAACCCAATCAGGGATCTCTTGGTGGTTGTGGGCAAGCCACTTTTCCCCGAGGAGGGAGAGTCAGTGGATGAATTCCATGCTCGCTACGTCACTGCCATCACTCAACTCTTTCACAAATATGTTGGGCTGTCCGCACAACCCAACCAGAAGTTGGTAATCGTTTGAAGTAGCGAGTAGTGGATATGATGTTTGCGGTCTTCCCCTGTATGGTTCATCATCCTGCTGGCTTATTTGCTTCGTGTGAGGTAGTGAAGCAAAGTAGATGTGGAGCCCGCAGTATGCAGTCAAGCAGCTTCCATTCCGTCTGGTTACTAAATTCACATTTTTCCTGTTAGAAGTAGCTGTATTATGCCCTTGTAGACGGGTTATATTCTTTTTTGTTCTTTATTGAACAGTGTCAATAGCGGGTAGTAGTCTAGAAGATCTGGTTCCACGTGGTTTTGCACTTTTACAGCGAGTCTCGGTTGCCCGCGTGGCGATCTTTTGTTATTCTACAATTGATGATTGGTTGAACCTCGCTGCCACAAGGCACAGCTTTGTTTGCTGTCCAATGTTCAGCCATTCCAATGTCCAATCCGACCAAATTCCAGAAATTTCATTAACGTTCGAAACTGCCCGTGTCTTCCCAAACATATCGCTTGACACTACATGCTCTCACAATCCCCCTACGTGAGAACATTTCGTAACCTTGTTTTCGTTCATTTCGACATTCCCAAGCGCCTGACATCGCGTGACGCAAATCCCTAGGGTCACATCACAATCACCATCTCAAGGCCCGTGCATTCGCTTCCATTCGGCATGTCCCTTCCCTTCCCTCCCACCACCTTGCTCCAAACCAGTTTTCGACGCAAGCAAGGCCAAGCCAAGCTGAGCTGAGCTACAAGGAGAAATTGACTTACTTCATTCGTTCTTTGTTCACAGCATCCGTTTTTAGCTGCGTCGGCCAAAGCGGGTCATTCTCCGACTAGGAAAATTCTCAAGAGCTGTTTCGAAACTGCTCAAGCGCCAGAAATCTAGAATACGGTACTTTCCGCTTAGTAGTACGAGCATGGCGGCGCGTCTGCCCCTAGGACCAGCCATGCTACTCCAACCAAATACCTCGTTCGCTCAGCACGTAAAGTATCCCAAAAGCCACACGTCGTCCTCACCTCCTTCCGCTCTGCACTCGTCTTTTCTTCCGCCTTCTCGAAAGCCATCCCTGGCTTTCGCGTCCAGCCCAACCCTCCTATCACAAAGTTTTGCCCAAAAATATCCTCCTAATATCCCGCGAAAATTCTACGAGCACGGTCGTTTTGGTCAGAGAGGGAAGGTATCGGTCGCGGCGGCGGGAGGAGGAGCGGGTTTGGCAGGGGAGCAGGGGCAGGGTCAGGAGAAGGGCGGAGGGCTGTCCGATTTCCCTCCGGTGCCGGCGGCCAGGATGATGGTTCCCGTGATGAAGAAAGGCTACGGCGCGTTTGGCGGCGCCACTCTGGAGAAGTCGAAGCTCGACCTCTCATTTTCCACCGCCAAAACCGGCGCGCAGGTGAAGCACCCCAGATACTAGGCGAGTCAAGCACATTGTCTCTTCCCCCTGATCCCCACCCCCCATTTTTTTGCCCCAATTTTCTTTATACAAAAGAATGCATTTCCCGTGCGACGTTTTGAAGGGAATCACCACCTTCTGTGCCCTAATGATTTCTCTTTCCTAGGTGGAGCTTGGGGGAGGCGGCGGTAACATCGGTAAAGGAATCGGGCACGGGGGCGGCGACGGCGGCGACGACGGGGGCGACGACGACGACTATTTCGGCGAGGACGACGGCGACGACGGCGACGACGACGGGTTCATCCGTCGCACGGTCGTCGCGGAGGTGTTTGACCGCGCGTCCGTGCAGGCGGTGCTGGAGGAGTGGTTCAGGACCATGGCGGACCTTCCCGCTGGGATCAGACGAGCTGTGGAAATGGTGAGCGGTTGTGAGCGGTGGTGAGCGGTGTTGAGTGGTGGTGGTGAGTAATAGTGACTTGTTGAGGAACGGGGAGGTGTTTGACCGCGCGTCCGTGCAGGCAGTGCTGGAAGAGTGGTTCAGGACCATGGCGGACCTTCCCGCTGGGATCAGAAGGGCTGTGGAGATGGTGAGCGGTGGTGAGTGGTTGTGAGCGGTGTTGGTCAGAAATCGTGACTTGTTGAGAAACGGGGAGGCGTTTGACCGCGCGTTGGTGCAGGCGGTGTTGGAGGAGTGGTTTCGAACGCTGGGATACGGCGAGCTATGGAAATGGTGAGCATTTCTGAGCGGTTGTGAGCGGTTGTGAGCGGTTGTGAGCGGTGGTGAGTGGTGGTGGCGAGTATGAGTGACTTGTTGAGAAACTGGGAGGCGTTTGACCGCGCGTCCGTGCAGGTGGTGTTGGAGGAGTGGTTTCGAACCATGGCGGATTTACCTGCTGGGATTCGGCGCGCTGTGGAGATGATGAGTGGCGGTGAGTGGTTGTGAGCGTGGCAAGTTCAGCAAAGGTGGCGCGTCCCATGAGCATGGACGCGCGGCCACCAGCTAGTCATGAGGCAGAAGTCGAAGGACATGCAAGGACCTCTTTCGTCCCTTTTGAGTCGACTTAAAAATGTGACTTTTGAGTCGAGTCAAAAGGCAGAAGTTGAAGGACATGCAAGGACCTCTTTCGTCCCTTTTGAGTCGACTTAAAAATGTGACTTTTGAGTCGAGTCAAAAGGCAGAAGTTGAAGGACATGCAAGGACCTCTTTCGTCCCTTTTGAGTCGACTTAACAATGTGACTTTTGAGTCGAGTCAAAAGGCAGAAGTTGAAGGACATGCAAGGACCTCTTTCGTCCCTTTTGAGTCGACTTCACAATGTGACTTTTGAGTCGACTCAAAAGGCAGAAGTTGAAGGACATGCAAGGACCTCTTTCGTCCCTTTTGAGTCGACTTCACAATGTGACTTTTGAGTCGACTCAAAAGGCAGAAGTTGAAGGACATGCAAGGACCTCTTTCGTCCCTTTCACTTGTGCCTTCTGCATTCCCCCTCCCTGCTCTCAACCCCCCCTTCCTGATTTCTCCCAGGGCGTGGAGAGTTCAGCGCAGGTGGAGCGTCTCACGAGCATGGATGCGCGCCCCACCATTGCGAGACATGAACCCTCCCCCTTTCCCTAGATTTCCTTTCCCTCTGGCTTGACATGTGCCTTCTGCCTTCCCCTCCCCTCCCCCCCCCCCCCTCCAGGGCGTGGTGAGTTCAGCGCAGGTGGCGCGGCTCATGAGCATGGATGCGCGCCCCACCATTGCGAGATTCGTCTCCCGCCTCGCCCCTCCTGAGCTCTCCCGTGCCTTCATTGGAAGGTGTGTGTGGTGGGTGTGTTGGTCGCTCCCCTGTTTCCATCCATGCCTCTATGGCATCCCCATGGGTATGCTTTCTTACGAAAAAACACAAAATACATTCCAGTGCAAGTCACCCCACTTCCTTCCTCCCTCCCACATCCTTCCACACTCCCCACCACCCCCCTCAACCGTTCAGAATGATGGCAGACCCGGCCTTCCTCTTCAAGCTTGCTCTCGAGCAAGCAGCCACCGTCGCCACAGCAGTGCGTTGGGAGGTGCAGCAGCGGCGCGGGCAGCCAAACGGGCAGAACGGGCAGCAGAACGGACAGGACGGCCAGGACTGGAAGACAAAACTTAATCAGGAATGGCCCCTAGCCCTTACCAACGTCGTCAATCTCTCCCTCTGCAACCTGGCGCTTGTATGGTGCCTCTCCCCCTCTCGATCCTACGGCTCTACTGCCACTAATGCGTTTCAAATGGTGCTGCAAAAACTGCCCAATAATTTTTTCGATCGCAGCTATGCGCTCCGGGAATTCAAGCTGCCCGAGCGGGTGGGCAGTTTCTTCTTCAACGCTGCCCGGCTGAGCGTGATTGGCTCGGCGGTGGGTGCTGCTGGTGGGGCAGTTTCAAATGCCATATTGAAAGGGATGCAAGGGAAAAACAAAGCAGAAGCAGGAGCATCACAAGAAAAAGGAGGGGAATTATCCAGAGGGAGTGGGGAGGCGTTTCAGTATCAGCCATCTGTAGCAGTGCCATCACTGACAAAATCGGCTGTAGCATTCGGTGCCTTCACCGGACTTTCGGGAAACCTTCGGTATCAGCTACTGTATGGGATGGATCGGGTGTTACAGGAGCATTTCAACCATATCCCTGTCGCCATCCTTGGCACCACTGCTCTAAGGTGAGACACTGGGAGAGCTGATTACTGAATAGATTTGTGAGTTACCTTTTGAGGAGCATTTCAACCACATCCCTGCCACCATCCTTGGCACCACTGCGTTGAGGTGAGACCTTGTGACAGCTGGTTTTTTAGTTGATTTCTGTGCTGGCTTTAAAGTTGACTCTGCTTTCCTGACGTGCGTCGTGCTTTCCCGAACCTCTTCCTCAGGTTCGGCAACATACTGCTGGGCGAGCCATCCCGCCTCTCCTGGCTCGGGCTGGACAGCGAATCCGTGCAGCAAGCGCAGGCAGAGCACCGAGCCTACCACCGACCCTCGCTCGCAGGCTCGGGGAAGAGGTTCGGCAGCAGGCCCACGTTCTCATTGCTACTTCAATTCCTCAGGTTGGGGGGCAGCAAGAGAAGGGTAAAAGGGACTGCAGGGGCGAGACGGCGTGGTGTGAGGAAAGTGGCAGGGAGGGGGGAAGGGGAGGGAAAGGGTGGTGAAGGTGGAGGGGAGAAGGGAGGGCCTGACCGGGTGGTTCGGAGGAAAGTGAAGCGCAAGGTTAGCGTGGCCCAGTAGGGCCTGTGTGGAGGGGCTTGTGTATGGGTGAGTGCTTGTTGCATAGTGTACAGGTGGGGGGAGGGGGGGGGGGGGGGGGGGGGGGGGGGGGGGGGGGGGGGGGGGGGGGGGGGGGGGGGGGGGGGGGGGGGGGGGGGGGGGGGTGGGGAAGGGGGAAGAAGCAAGTTCAGGATCAGCAAAGGACCAGCCAGAAGGAGCAGCGAAGTGGGTGGTTAGGAGGAGAGTGCAGCGGAGGGTTGCTGTGGTACAGTGGGGCATGTATGGGGGGGGGGAGCTGGGTGGACTCCGCTTTTCCCTTTAGTACGTGTACTTGCTCTGAATGTAGACTGTGAGATACTACAGTTTGTCAATGAATGTATATATTTGAGATTCTACAGTAGTAGATGTGTACAGCCGAGATTATATACCGTATTGTGCAAATGTATATATACGGTTGAGGTATACGATTTGGAGTTTTACAGGCCCCTGATTTTTATCATCACAAAGCTGCCTCATCTTACTGAACATCAACTCAACTCACATATGGTATGTTGGGTACACTATTTCAGCCACAATCATGCTTGCTGCTGGGACAGAAGTCAACAAGAGTTACTATAACATGAACAGAAGTAGCTGATGAAATGTATACATTATTGGGCACACATGTAACACAAACGTTCAACAATGGTTCAACTCCTGCCTGCATATGTTACAGTAGCAAAACATATACACAACTACCTAGTTTTTGCATCCAGAAACTTCTGGAAGCACTAGCAACACACAACAAGCCATGGATGGACTACTTATGTACACTAAATGTCAGAACTACTCCTATTCTCTAGGCCCTTCTTCTATGTAGAAACTATTTCGCAATTACCTGCCCTTCAGTCTCGAGGTAATCTCATCACGATATCCTACCCTTCACCTGCTGTCCCACCTGTTCATACCCCTTTTTCTGCCCTTCACCACTCACTCATGCCGTCTTCCATCCGCCTGCTGCTCTTAATTCTGCACCATGCCCTTCAGTCTCGAGCTGATCTCATCAAACGATGGCCTGCCTTCCACCTGATGTTACCCCTGTTCCTGATTTTTCAGGCACTCCATTAATTATCTACACTTGCCTTCCGTCCATCTGCTGCTGCTCTTGTTCCTGTACCATAACCTTCAGTCTTGATGTGGTCTCACCAATCTCTTGATTTATGAGGCTAACCAATGGCTGATTACACTCGTCTCCCATCCACCTGCAGCTGCTCTTGCTCCTGTACCATGATCTTCAGTCTTGCTGTGATCTCATCGAACGATGGCCACTCGTTAGGGCTGGGGGCAAGGAGAGAGAGGGAGGAGCAAGAGAGATACAAGGGCGTGATTAGATAAGCAAAGATCAGCAAACGTGTATTTGATTCTCAGAGCAGTGCCTTGCAACCAAGCGACTTCACCTTGAAACCTCACCTGTCCCACTTCCATCTGCTGCAGTCGCATCAGCCCCTATTGCACCTTCCAAATACCTACTTCCCCCAGCCGTACCTGCGCCAGCAGTCGGACATGAGAAGCCTCATAGCAGGGTCGATGGGGGGAGGCAGAGGCAGCTGTATGAGCCTGTCTCGAGAATCCCCATCACTCACTCCCACCTGTCCCAGTCACACCTGCCCCAGCCGTACCTGCGCCAGCAGTCGGAGATGAGAGTCCTCATAGCAGGGTCGATGGAGGGAGGCAGAGGCAACTGTTGCTCCAGGAATCCCACGGCCCCCACCACCTGCATGGGGTTCATCCCCTCCCATGGCACCTGGCGCGTTGCCATCTCCCACAACACCACTCCAAAGCTATACACGTCCGACCTGCATGGATGGGAGTGCATGGCATGGAGAATGGGAGATTTAGCACCATATGTGTATGGGGTACTACAAGGAAAAAGAGTGCACATGGCACACTGGCAACGAGCATCAAGCAGAGTAACCATGCATAGACTTGCGGCGTGCGCATGGGAGAAGACCACTATACCACTATACCACTGTCAAGATGAAGGAATGCATCATGCGACTCACTTTTCGTTGGAAGGCTCATTGCGAAGCACTTCTGGGGCCATCCATTGGGGCTGGTGGGGGGTGAGAGGGGGAGAGCAGGTGAGAGGGATAGCAAAGAGAGTTGAAAGAGGTGAATTCGACACGTAAAAAAGAACCCAATAAGGGATAGGGGACAAGCCTAAACTCACAAAACAAACGCATTTGCACAAGAATCGTGTAGGAGGGACGAGTGGCACAGCACATGAAGAACCTTCTAAGTCGACTTAAAGAGCGCCTACGAGCACGAACACGCAAACCACTATTACAAGCAAAGGAAAGTAGGGGGAGAAACGCACCGTGCCACGGCCCGAGCGAGCAGAGAGGTACGTGGCAAACTTCATTTTGCTCAAACCAAAGTCGCCGACCTGCAGGCAGACACACAGACAGACAGGAATGGAGACACATGACAGTTTGGTCAGCTGTAGGGAAGACATGCCAGAACAGCATGGCAATGTATGGCAGAGTGCATGCTTGAACCAAACAGAACTTTGCATTCATGGGACGGGAGTGAGCCTGGATGCAAACATGATAGAACATGTTGCCTTCATAAGTATCGTCTTGATGCGAGACATACCTTGACAGTCCAGTTTCTGTCGACGAGCAGATTGGCTGACTTGAGATCATGGTGAACCACGGGGGGCGAGCACTTGTGCAGATAGTTCACTCCCCGCGCCTGAGGGGGACGACAGACGGGGAGGATGGGTAGTACGGGAGATGGGATAGCTAAGCCAACGCTTGATCCTGATTGATTTCAAAACGCAGTAGGGAGGGGGATTGCTGATGGGGTGGGAAGAGTGGGCGCTTGGACGAAGCAGATGGTTAATCTTACAGATGGGCGCCAGGAGAAGAGGACACGTGGCAGATGAAGAGTAACACGCCACCCACCGCATCCAGCCAGAATCACTACACTTACCACGTCCAGAGCCATGCGCAGCAGTCGCAGGCGGGTGAGACCTGCGGTGCGGCGGTGCAGCAGGCGGAAGAAGAGACTCCCGCGGGGGAGGAACTCACAGGGGCTTGCAGCGATGGGGAGGACGCACGGTTGTTGGGTGGAGTCAATCAAAGCATGCAACTGACCGTGTCCGGTGCCATTCGCGCCACTCACCACGTCAAGAGCCATGCGCAGCAGGCGCAGGCGGGTGAGCCCCGCGGTGCGGCGGTGCAACAAGCGGAAGAGACTTCCACGAGGGAGGAACTCGGTGACGATGGCGAGATGGTCTAGGGAGGCCACTGCGCCCATGAAGAGAAGAATGTTGGGATGACGGAGCTTCTCCATTATGCGGATCTGAGGGATCAAGGAATGGGGGGGGAGAGGGGGGGGGAGGGAGAACATGCGAGATGTGGGAACAGGCATGAGAGCAAAGAAAGTCAAGGAGACAAGATCGTCAGAGCATGGGTCAGAAGCGGACAAGACACAACCCCCATCTACAGACTACAGGTAAATTTCTAGCCTTGCTGGTACGGTGTTTTGCACACGAAGAGAAGAGCAGAGCAGCAGAGAACTTCCTTGTTCTGAGAAGGGGCAGTCAGAGGGCATCTAATGGAATGCACGCTGCAATCGTGTACCTCTTTCTTAAAGTCCTGCATGAAGTCAGCACTGATGTCATGCCGTGCAAACACCTTCACTGCCACATCCTGCAGCAGAGAGAGAAACAGTGAAGGCAAACAGGGAATAAAACGATGACCGGGCTACGAGATCGAAATGGGAAGGAAAGACGAGCAATTGTAAAGTCAGTAGAGCCTCTGGAAATAAGGCACGGTGCAGCACTCACGGAGCCAAACCAGCTGCCGTGATATGCTTCAGAAAAAAGATCGACAAAGAAACGAAAAGAAGAAGAAGAAGAAGAAGAAAAAAGGTGCAGAGGCGATTGGAAAGTTCCAGTAGTGCACTTACGGAGCCGTTCCAGGTGCCGTGATAGACCGTGCCACATGCACCTGCAGTATTGGACAGGTACAGAACAAACAGACATCATCACCAGCAGCGCATATAAGATGAGAGGATGATGCAGTGAGAGGAGCGAAATATGGGACGCGATAGTGGCATGCATGCATGAAGGGACGTGAATGACAGAATAGGCACACACAGCCCCAGCTGGGGCCAGGTGCAAAGGCTATTCAGGTGTGAAAAGCAACTCACCGTGCCCGACCTCCTGCCCCAGCTGAATGTCCTCCCACCGAATCTCCCACCGCGCCACTCCATCTTCCCAAAACCGCTCCCTCTCCTGCCTCTCCCTGTTCCCCTGCTCCCCCTTCAAACTCAACTCCCTCCCAGCACCCCCACCACCCTGCCCATCTAATCTTTCAAGTGCCAGGCCCTGCCATTTCGCCACAGCCTCCCTGTACTCCTGTCCTTCTCCCATGCTGACGTCGACCTGCTGCCTCTCCAGCAACTTTCCATTTCCTCCCCACCTATCCAACCCTGTCCCGTGCATCCCGAGCCCTGGGATTACTGGCCCACCTACTCCACTCGCCATGCCCCAGCCTTGCTGCCCCAGACCCTGTCCTGGTCCGAGTTCACTGTATTTCACAACCCCCATTCCCATGTCCACCATGCCACCCATGTCTCCCATGTCTCGCAAGTCTCCCACACCACCCATGCCGTCCATGCCGCCTGCGCCGCCCACACCGGTCATGCCGGCCATGCCGCCTGCGCCGCCCACGCCGGTCATGCCGGCCATGCCGCGCTGGTCCTTGGGTGTATCTGCCAGAATCAGATCTTGCATGTGTGTATGGCATGCTGTTGCTGCAGCAGCAGCCGCCAGAGAACCACAGCCAAACCCAGCATCACCGCCAGCACCCGCAGCACCAGCATCACCACCAACACCAGAACTGAAACCAAAGCCGTGCCACGGAGAAGCAGCAGCAGCAGCAGCAGCAGGAGAAGCAGCAGCAGGGCCAGCAAGGGACGTTTCAGGCTGCAAGGGAGCAAGCTGAGTCACATGTGTTGCGGGAGCAACAGAGGGGCGATGGCACGGCGAGAGGGGAAGGAGCGAGGCAGAGGAGGGGAGGAAGGAGGCGGAAGTGAGCGCCAAGACAGGAGCCCCTGGAAAAGCCCCAAAAGAAGCTCCTGGGACAACATCCGCCAAAGAAGGTGGAGCGGCTGAGGCAGCTGGAGCAGCAGCCGGAGGAGGAGCAGCAACACCAGCTGGAACAGGTGGGGAGTGACCCGGACGGAACGTTGGAGGAGCAAGAGTGAGCAGTGGCGAGGCAGCGGATTCAGGAGTGGGAGCAGAGATAGCACCATGAGCAGCCGCAGCAGCCGCAGCGGCGGCAGCAGCAGCGGCGGCAGCAGTTGCAACAGTGGCAGCACTGACAGTTGAAGCATCCAAAGCCGTGATTTCAGGTTCCACGCGAGGCCTGGCAGCAGGAATCCTGAAACTCTTGTCGATATCAACACCAGGGCCGCTTGAGCCGTGAACACAGCTAGCACTGTCACTCCCACCACCATTCCATATACCACCAGCCCCAGCAGCAGCAGCGCTACCACCAGCAACAGCGGCACCAGCAGCAGCAGCGCCAGCAGCAGCAGCAGCAGCAGCAGCAGCTGAAGCAGAAGCGCCAGCAGTACTAGAGCTGCTGCAGGAGCTGCCAGAGCCGCTGTTGTGGCGGCTGAGCCTGTCCCCTTCAGGACTGAGCCTTCTAGCCTTGGGACTCCTCCCCCCCTGCACCACCATCCTCTGCATGCCCCCATGCAAACGAGCTTCTGATAAGGACGCCTCAGCGGCAGCAGCAGCAGCAGCTGCTGCTGGTGATGGTGGCAGTGGGTGGTGGTGGTGGTGCGGTGACATGGGTTCTGCGAGGTGCAGGTGGGTTTGAGAGGAGACGGTGGAGCTGGTGGGAGAGAGTCGTTTCCGCACCTGCCCAATTGACTGCGCCACCCTGCCAGCCTGGGAGGAACAGAGGTTGTGAATGGGATGTGCGCAAGTAAGTGGTCAGATGGAGGAGAGAAGTGACAGGGTTACACACCAGGGCAGGTGTGAGCGAAGTAACGGTAAAGGTGTGCCAGGATTCCAAAGGAGGAAAATGTTAACCACGAAATAGAGGGTTGCACTGATTACGAAACTTACCAAGGACAGGACAGTTGAAGCAAAGGGTATTTGCCACGGGTGCTGGCACTCCGCGTGAGCAGCCTCACCCTCTGCATCAAACTCAAAAGGCACCCCTGCTTCCCCTCCTCCTGGCCCCCCTTCTGCACTGAAATCAAACGGCACTGCTGCTTCTCCCTTTAGGGAATCAAACGCCATTGCCGCTGCTTCTCCTCCGTCCTCTCCCCTTCCTTGGAAGTGCAGGACTTCAGAAGAATCACGAGCAGCAAGGTCTGCGTGCGGCACAGTCATATCAGCCTCATCAGCGTGGGCAAACGAGGGGCGATGCAGAGGTGCAGTGCGGGACTGCGATGGAGAAAGCAGAGGAGCAGAAAGCCGAGAGGGTACACGTGCCGCGCGGAACGAAGCATTTCCAGATGCATAACCGGTTGCGTTTGCAGTTGCATTTCCAGCTCCGTTTCCTGCTGCAAAAACAATTGCGTTTTCAGGAACTCGGATGGGTCGCAGTGGCGCCGTGGTCACATGCAGCTGCAGGGGCCTAAAGCCTGTTGCTACCTGCCGATGCTCTGCCTTGTCCTCTGCTGCAGTTGCGGATGGAATGCTCTGGAGTGGTGTGGAGGGCGATGGAAACTCATCAGGAGAAAACGCAGCAGCGCCAAAGGAGGCAGCAGGACGAAGGGAGGCAGCAGCAGTAGCAGTAGCACCAGGCAGAGCAGAAGCAACAGACTGAAATGCAGCGGCAACAGCAGCAGCACCAGGAGAGGCGGTAGACACAGGCCCAAGAGACGTGCTGACATGCATGCTGCTGCTGCAGCTGCCGATGAACGCTCGAACCTGCTCCTTGAACGGCCGGCTGTCGCTCGCCACTCCCACGATCATGCTCACGTTTCCCTTGTTGTCTATTACGGGCCGATCGGTAATCATTGCGTCGAACACCTCGCCTGACTTCTTAGTAAGGGAAGAGTTGCCAGCCCAGCACTGCCCCCCCTGCAAGGGAAAAGGAGGGAGGAGGTGACAGAAACAAAGGTTATCATGGTGCTCATGCCGTCATTGGTGAGCCGGAGTTTTATCATTGTGTCAACACGCACGCCTCCCCGATTTCTTGGCGAGGGAATAGTTGCACAGGCACTGCGCCATCGCAGATGACTCACAGGCCAGACAACCATGGGACAGAACCAGCGGGGTTATCAACAAGCGGTGTCAGGAGTGACCCACGACAGAATGATCAACAAGGAGTGTAGTTGAATTGGTGGTCTGACTGACTGACCTGCAGGAGGGCAATGATTTGCGAGGCGGCCTCGTTCGACTGCTGACAGCACAGCAGCTCCCCTATTTTCTGCCCGACTGCCTCCTCTTCTGTATATCCAAACAATTTTTCCGACCCCGAATTCCTGCAGACACCAGGGACAATAGATGGAGTTAAGGGAGGTCAATGACTAACAACGGTGAACCAAGGAGCACTAGACTAGAATACTCACATCAATTTCTAATCTGTCTGAAAAGGGTTCGATACGACACAGGGAAAAGCAAATCCCAAACTAATCCCGTACAACAGATCACATACCACATCACGATGGTGCCATCAGGCCTGAAGACATAGATGGCCTGGTTCTCAGAATCCCAACCATGGATTCCCGACGGGAACCGCCTGAGGGGTGAGTGCGCGTCGCTCTCTGATGAACCATTCTCTGAGGAACCTCTTGATATTTCTCTTGGAAGGTTGAGCGGAAGCAGGTTCCTGGAAGCTGGAGAGACGACCTCAGATTGGCTCTGGGAGGCTGAGAAGGTGCCTGATCCACCGGGGCTTGACCAACGAATGGGATGAACGGAGTTCTTTGGGCTGTCGGCGTCCTGCAAGTGTTCAGTATCGCGTGAAAGAGGTTTCAAGAAATGATCAGGTAGTGTACTCAGGCGTAATGAATACACGAACATGGTGTTATAAGATCAAATCGGTTGACTGAGCGTTATACCTCGTTACTCTGCTTCCATTTTTCGCGCAACTGCTCCTTCACCAGCTGAATCTTAGTCATCTGGTGCTTCAGCGACGCGTGGCAAACCTCCAAATCCGCAATCGCCGCCTCCATGGATGTGTCTCCTCCTACCATAACAGCGTGAGGACTCAACGGCTGACGGCAACCCATAACCATAGTTCGGAAACAAGACACGAGAGTGTAGCAGGGTTTGGCATGAGCTGTAAGCAACACCGCGGCGAGCTCACGAACCAGTGGCTGGTTTGTTTTTTATATCTAATGAAAGCGATGCTACTAGGAACTCTAGGCCTCAGAGATGGGCTTGTCCAGGATTTCGAGCCAAAAGAGGAGTAACTCGTCTTGGGATTCCCTCAGTTTATAATAAAACCTCTGCTTCTTCAGAATCAGCCTGTCTGGGAAACCACGGGGCAATCGAAAACCGCGAGGCAGCAGGCGGAGAAAGCTAGTATCCCCTCGATTTCCGGCCACAGTTCAGGTCCGAAAGCTCCTCATCCGAGGCCGTCACGGCCAGAAAACCGTCCGATGGATCCGCTATAGTCGCTCCGAACCGTCAGCGGTCTCTTCCCCGGTCGGGGGAACCAGACCATTTGTTTGTCCAGCTGGAGCTGGTTTGTCCGCAAGAGGCGGGATCAAATGAGATCAGCCCACCAAAAATCCTCGTCTGACTGGCGACACGGGATGCGGGCTGGCATTTGCTCTTTCCTGAGAACTTTCTAGTATGTGGACCACGTGATTTCGACGTCCCGGATATTTCTCGGGGAGCACAACGCGGTGCGGGGATCTGACCAGGGAGAGCCACGTGATAAGTCGAACAGCCACCTGGGGTAGATCTACTAGAAGAGCGTAGCGTCCTTCCCCTGACGTGAAATCATTCGCAGTGGCGAGTTTAGCTGTTAGCAGCATTGTGCCGCCCGAAATTGAGGCAGCTGCCTTGCTGTGCATGATCCAGGCTGGATCATCTTCTTGCTGACTCAGAATTCTTCATGGCTCTTTGCTTTCGACGGAGGCAAAAGCCACAACAGCAGTAAGTGCATATCAGGTAAGATCCGCCTGTAAACAAATTGGTCGGCAAAGGCGTGACTGTAAGTTCGCCGCTCAAGCGTCCATGGCAGAAGCTTCGGTGCGTCCGATGACTTGTGGACAGGATGGAGGCTGTCTGACGCATCACGGCGTCATGATTTGTCTCGTGGTCCCACTCTGGGAGGAAATACGCGTGATACGCTGTGGATTTGACCCCACATGACGGACGTGGTCCCTGGCTGTTCCCGTTAGAAGAGGGCAGCAGGGGCACGGGGCCGCGTAATATAGAAGCCTTAGCTCCTCGGGTTTGGCGACGTGAAAACGGAACTCGACGAAGCCAGCTGGAATGACTTACTTTCTTGGACAGGCCTACTCCATGTCACAAGGCTGAGGGCATTCAGTGATATCCGGTATTGAGTCCTTCACCTAGGCACAATCTTTTGACTTCGTAGGGAAACCAAGAGCTTAAAAGAACAATTGCAGAAACGGTCATTGACGCCTATGTTAGCATAAGAACAAAATATTATATTTGAATAAAAAAATGATATATAGCAATCTTGATTGAAACCATTTGAAGGCTCTTGCGTCACTGTGTTAGACTCACACATATCTATCTCCATCTTCATTCTCGACTTATGAGAATGCTCTTGCTATGCGTTCAACTGCAAACTTGTTGTGAGATTTCCCAAACGAGAACCAACAACGTGGTGGTTGGTGTTCGGCTTGGAAATCGGAAAACGTCACAGAGCATTGTATTACGGTACCGTGCGTTACCAATGGTTGCAGAGCATTACAGAAACTAGCGGTGTGGCATAGGGAACAGCGACTCTTCGCCGCAGTGAAAACAATTTTATCGCGTGGAAGCATACTCGACCGCGTTAGCCTGCTTTGAAAATGTTCCACCCCGAATTTCATCACTTTACTCGTGCACAAGGTAATCTGAGCGAGAGCTGTCCCTAGGGAATCTCTGCCGCACCGCATTGGTCTTACCGTGCCGCAGGATAGTCCGAGGACGGCCCGGATACTTGTCCAAGAAAAGCCTGCCAGGTGCACCCGAATCCCCAGCGTCCCATGCGGTCGCTAGTATAACACACTATCGCTCAGGGCCTGACAGCGCACTCTCGATTCGAACTCAGCATTGGACGCATCAATTTACCACCATGGACGATCCACCCCCTCGCTTATGACCTCTCCTGAATCGATGTTGTGCCAGATCCTCGCCGTTTTCATGAGAGCAGCCAGCCTGCTTGCTAGAAATTGCGAAATTGCCAGTTGACGCTACGCCAGACGGTCGGACGTCTAGGAAGCAGTGTCGATCTACCTCCACCGTTTTCGCAGGTGGGTGCTGCCATCGGCTCTTCCGTCCAGTCGTGCGTACCAAGAGATCAACCATGCGACGACTCGGAGTCAGCAAGAAACCACCCGGCGACTCGGAGACAGCAATGCTTAGTTGTACGTCCCTTCGTGAACTCGCTTGACCTTTCGGCTCACTTACAGCCGCGGTGTGCAGTCACAGCGTTCAATCCGCGTTACAAACGAATTGGCGAAGCGACTTCCAGAGAAATAATGGCGATAGCGTGCCTCTTTAGCATGCTTCCTTTCACCCGGGACCGCGTTGGGTTCCTCGAGGGCTGCAGAACGAACTCCCACGCGGTCAAGCTTCCTGGTACTCTGGCAGCATCACACTGCCTCAGAATCACGTGCCTCCCACACCACTTTAAGAACCTTGGAGACCTTTCTAGACGAGGGGGGGGGAAAGAGAGATTGGAAGCAGGTGAGATTTGAGCAAAACACTGCCTCAGTATCACGTGCCTCCCACACCACCCGAAGAACCTGGGAGATCTTTCTAGGCGAGGGGGGAGAGCGAGAGATCGGAAGCAGGCTGCCGTCACATGACGTGACTGCTCGGGGTCAGGGAAGCAGGTGTCGCGCTGGCTCGGATGCAGCGGTGCGCCGCTGTCGATCGACCGACGTTGTATCTGCGGATGAACGACGTTACGCCGCTCGTGGAAGTCCAGATCCTGCAGGCGACGAAGCAGACGATGCTGCGAGCGGCGCTGCGGCGGGGCCTCGCCTATCGGCCCGCTCGGCGCGCAGTCGCTTTTGTGGACTTGCGTGCCCCCTCGGGATAACCTTTCGACTGAGAAAAAGAGCTCTTCCAAGGGTTCTCTAGGACAGGATGCATGCCGCAGGTGCACTGCCTTAGGCGCACTGCTGCTGACAGACTCCTGTAACCTGTTGTCAAGACAGCTGCTAGGCACAATTCGTTCGGCCTGCCACTTCCATTGTAAGCCTTGTGTCTGATTTCTGATCGAGCAATCCCGGGTTTGGGGTGGGTTCCATCCAACTAAGCCAGAGTTCGTTCCTGTCGTTCCATACCTCACCCTCCCTGACCGTTTGATACCTGACTGACAATACTTGAGAAACTGTGTTATTGCGTATGTTAGAATCCACTACGTCAGCCGCAATGGCACTACATCCTGGCGCAAATTGGAATCGGAAATGTATGGTGGATAAAAGTAATACCGTCCTGACTTTCACTTATTCTGTAGCTGCAGCTGAAGCTCCTAACGAAGATGAAAAACAATATCTCACCTCGTGACGTGGCTAACGAGCGACATACAGCACACCTGGACGACGAGTACTTTCCGTCGGCAAAAAAACCTGGAAGACATGCGACGAACTGGGCGAAAATGTGTACAGAAGTGCGGCGCGAAGCTGAGAGGAACATCCAATTTCTGAAACACAAATTGAGATGCAAAATCAGGTTGATCATTCGATTCAGGGTGCAAGGCCATCAGGTCTCTTTGTCGCGGAGACAGGGTGCACAAGGTCTCCCTGTCCAAACTCCATGGAGCACCTGCCTTCACCTCATAGCTTTCATGCCCAGAAAGAGATACCGAGCATGTCTAA